GAAAGCCCAACGAACCATGGGGGGTCATGACTCAGTAAAGTCCTGGAGCACCTGCTTGTGTCCCACTTTGTCTGAAGCTCCAGTGCTTAGGACTTTGTTTCTTTTCCTGGGTAGGTAACCTGTAACTCCTAATGGGGATACCAAGACCTATCTTAAACCTGATTCCTCTGTGGATCTCAGCCTTATGGTAGGAGTATCTTATGTTATAGATTAACATATTAACCTTACCCCCAGAACAGTCAGGGTAAAGAAAGCTCACCCAAGGGTCATCCACACAACTGAGTGAAGTTATTTGTGACTGCAGAACCAGAAGATACTATCTAAGGTACATGTAAAGCTCCCTTTGACATCAGAGGGAACAGGCATCTAACTGGTTCTTGAGGCAAGACTATTTCAACAGCTTTCAATCTACATGAGCAAATGTAAATGTGGCAGGTGGGGGTTGTCATTTACTTTGAAATTTAAGTTTCTCCTCAAAAACATATGTATATATGCCCACTTCAGGAAGCTGTCTATATTCCCTCGTTTTTTTCTGCTTTCTTAAGCAAATACAGTCTTAGTTATTCTGAGTTATTAATATACCATTTGTTATAGCCAAAGGGTAAGGTGCCACAGAGCTTTCCTATATCTCCATCTTTTTCAAAAATATTTTATGTATATAATCACAAGAAACAAAACCAAATGTTTACTTCGTTTATAAAATAAACAGTAATTTCAGCTGTATATTTTTTGAGTTGAACTTTGCATTTACTGCCAAAAGACATCTATTGATAATAACCTGTCTGTATGCTTAGTCCTAGGTAAAATCCGAAGTGCTGTTGGAAGCGCTCAGCTCCTCATGTCTCAGAAATTCCAGCAATTTTATTGGCTTTGTCAGCAAAATCTGGTAAGTCACCATGTCTGGCCATTCTTGAAGAGTTTAAGGCTATTCATCCACAGATATTCCACAAAGCATAACTTTAAATTTTAGAATGTAATATTTTTACTTCAAAGTCAACAACAAAAACAAGTGTAGCATACCCAAACAGTAGCATTCTGAAATGTCATTTTCTTGTCTCCCATTTTGTCTTACTGCTGCTTTTTCTTTAACTTAATACTTAAGTACAGAGTTAGTACATCTTTTTGTCAAATCAAACATGTAATGTCAGTAATTTCAGTCTGACTGTGGGTTTTTTGCTGTCTTTATTAAAGAAAAAAAAAATGAGAAAGGAACAAATGCAAGTCTTCTGAGACATAATATTATGGCTTATTTTTTGTAATCCCTTAAAATAGTAACTGTATTTCTGGTAAGAAAGGAGAAATTTTTCACATTGCAGTAAATGCAGAATAGTAAAATAGCAGAATACTGGAGAATATGTGATCCAGCTTTCTACGTACCTGAAAATAGGACTAATCTTGGAAATGGGGATATACATAATGTTAATAAAATTGGGTTTCATAATTTGCATTGCCAATTATATATAACATGGCCTAGAGCTAAAAGAACAGATGCAGTATATTACTTATGAGAGTTACTGCTATTGTTCTGGAAGTTCCTTAGAGACTAATTCAATTCTAAATGTTGTCTTCTTTAATATGACAGCAGCCATCAGTGATACAAACACTGTGGCAAGATAATACTAATCAATAGAAGAATATAATTCTTCTAGCTACGGCTAGTGGTAGAACACTTTTCTTTGGGTCACTTGAAAATCAAGTATAACTTTCAGCTTTTGACTGTCCCTAACCTCATATATTGAAAGTGCTGAATTTTGTTGCATGTATGATGGCAGACATGACCTAAATGGCTGGTAGATACATTTCTTTACTTGTTAGTATTTGCCAGATAACAAACATTCATTCTGCAGAGATCTGCTTGCTACTTTCCATCCATAAAGTTAAACATCCAGAATTCCTGAAACTGCAATCCCATATTACTGAGAAAGTCATGCCAAAAAAGTCCTACCTTCTGATGGAAAATGATAAGATATATGGTCCTCGTTAGGGAAGAATCCAATTATCCACTTCAAAGACTCTGTCAAAACAAGAATTTTAATAGCTGTTACAGAATGACAGAGAAAATATGCAAAGTCAGGCAAGCAGGAGGTGACCACATTTGTAATATCAAATACATCATGTGTGCTCCCTATCTAGTCATTTGTTTCATAGTGAAAGGAGGAAATCTTCATCAATGTCTAAAAGTTTCTCACTCTATATTTCAAAGTGCCCTCCATTACCTGATTGATTAAGTTACGCAAACTAAGATTTGGAGAGCCTAACCTCCACTCCAACTCATTTATCTTCAAGTGGGTCCAGCACTCGTGCTTGAGAGCATTACTGTAATAACAAGCACAGTCCTGCTCAGCACAGCCGTCAGCTGTTCGGAAGTGTGAACAATTCATCACTGCAAAAGCAATAGGAGCACAAGGAGAAATCCACAGCTTTGCAGACCACATGACCAAAAAACTGGCAAGATTTTATTTCTCTCCTTTGTATTTGGATAATAAACCTTTGAACTCCATAACAGCAGCTTTATCCTACTCCAACAATTTAGGCTCTGAATATTCTTCAGCTTCATTAAATCAGCAATGGACTCTGCAGAAAGGAGCATCTGCAGAACTGGACTTTTATCTCATTCATCTTTTGAGGCTTTTCTTCCTATACCTAATGATAGAGTTTGTTGTTAAATAGTCACTTAGTGTGTATCCACAGCAGGCTTTTCACATGCTCCTAAGGCAGCATCTCAGTGCCCTGACAGATAGCAGCCAGTTAGTGCATTCCCCCACTCAAAAATATCTAGCATTTACAAGGCTACCACATAGCAGTTTCTGTAGCAGTATTCAAAAACAATAAGCTCAAATGTAGGACAAGGAACAATGGCATTTACTTCTGCCAACTCAAAATGCAGCAAGGGTTTAGAAAGTATAATATACTTACTTACACTGAAATGTAATCAGGAAACTCACCCATCGCCTATGGACTTCTCTAAAGGGTCATGGGAACTTCAAGGGACACATTTGATTATGCTCCAGGTTAAGATCTCTTACCAAAGACTCTCACTTAGGGTAAATTCACAAAAATGTAGGCTTCAAGGATTTTTTTTTTAGAATCTCTCTGGCTATGTCCTGTAGCGTACTGTTCCCACTAACCACTAGGAAAAAAAAAAAAAATCACTGATTAATAACTGCTCCCTTCTGCATTATTCCCATTACCTCTTGCAACACCCTGTTTTTTCTTTGAAGTGTCCTCCTCTATACTCTCTAGTCAGTACAGATCCTGCTCAGCTCGTGAGACCATCTCTCACTATGTCCTGGTTGCAGGCAAACACAGAGCGGCTCAAGCACCGGCTAGGTACTTTTGGCTTGCTTTAGGCTTCCTTCGGAAGCATGGCTGCAAAGCTGAATTCCCAATAAGATACAAATAAGCAAGCAGTTTCTGACAAGAAACAGGTTTAAGCCAATCTTTTCAAAACTTAGTTAGCTCTAATAGTAATTACTTGTGCCAGCATTTACCCAAGGACTGCGGATCCACGATCGACAGCGGTGGGAGGCAGGTCTCTCGCGTCCAGACAACACACTGCACCTCCAGCCACAGAGTGCACCTCCACCAATGAGCAGAGTAGGGTGCGCAAAGGTACAGGAGGGCAATTAGCCTTGATTTGGAAGGCAATGGCATTTCGATCAGTGGCATCATTTTACGGCTGTTTAGAGGAAACCGGGGAAAAGGACTGAGGAGACCAGTCTGGAGACAACAGATTGCAATGTAAGATATATTGCTGTGGGACCACCCTGGCAAATTTCTCACAGGGAGTCAGTTCCTGAAGCCTGAGATATTTACCTCTGTAGAGTAACTAGTACCATTGACATAAATTTTAAAAGGTTTTGGAGTAAATTGGGATCTACCCACTTAAGTTGTTTTCAGTCAACACTAATTTGGAGTTGTATCATCTTTCCTGAAAGTTTGTTATAAACTATATGGCCAGTTCTGTTAAGTCCCCAAAGCTCTCAATGAAAAGGAGACTTTCTTCTAATGAAGAAGACTTCTAAGTGGATAGGCTTTTCAGTTGGTTCTTGGCCCGCATTCCCAAAAAGTTTAGATAGCCGTGTCACTGCATGCTGTCAGGCCCAGCTCCAGGCACTCACCTCCAACAGTGGCTTCTGCAAACCCAAGTTTGAGTAGCAATTCCTAGCTTAAGACCCCTAGAAATGTGCAATTCTAGGGAGCAATTCAACAGAAATGCTGATTTATCTCCTAGCTTTTAGGCAGCTATGTGGGGTTGTGTTCAATATCTAAAACGCCTTTTTCCACTAGATTTGTAAAAGATGAGACACATAGCCTTGCTTCAGCAATAACACCAGTGTTTCTAACTCAGTAATCTAGTCATTACAGCTTTTGACCAGGAAGGGGGAGATCCAGAGTCCCTTTGGCCTGGTTTTTACCCCATCTCTCCCAGTTCTGTAGATCATCTTAATGGCTTTCTCCTGCCCTGGAAGGGAAGAGACATTTCTTCATCATCTTCACAGCGATGTTTACCAATTAAGCCCTATTTCATTAAAGTGACAAAGCTGTCTTCTTGAATTAGTACCAATGCTCATAGGGCATAGGGTTAAGAGTCTGCATACTACCTTCTAATGTAATTTTTATCCAGCATTCAAATCAGGTTAATAGTCAAATGCTAATCTTTACCACCAATGTCCATTGTGCTCCACTAAGTCCTGTGCACATAGCGCCACTTAATCACAGTACTTAGGGGTAGTGCCTTCCTAGTTCCTGGGCGTGATTCGACTCCCTGAAGAATAAAATCCCACCATCCCCATCAAAATTTTATATCTTATGTATGCAATTGAAATTGCAAGACAATGTAAACATCAAATTGAACATCAGCTGACAACTTCTTCGTGGTGCTGCTTTGCCTTCTAATCAGCTATTGCGAATGTAATTTTTAACGAGAAAGACTTCAGGCTGGCTGGAATATGAACGACGTTCCCCTTCCCTTTAATAATCAGCAGGCAGAGGCTGTCGGCTTGTTCCTTTTTAGAAATGCAGGTCAGCACAGCATATGGTGCTACGGAACTTCCCATGCCGCACAGATTCAGGAAGGCTTGCGTATGACATCCAATTCATTCATGTTTGGGTTGTGTAGGAGGCACAACTCTCCAGTCACAGCTCCCAGCTGTAAAGCGCACACAGCCTTAGCGTTGAGCAGCGCTGTAGCAATGTAATCTGGCGCGATGCCTTTCCTGCCTCAAAGCACGTTGTTTAAAGCCTCCTGGTCTATTCACATTCTCTCCTTTGTGCATGACAGGACCCGAGCGCCATGCCGAGACCGACTTCCCAGGACCTAGCGGGTTTCTGGGACTTATTGCAGCTCTCAATTGAAGACGTCAGCATGAAGTTTGATGAACTGCACCAGTTGAAACTCAATGAATGGAAAATAATAGAATCACCTGAAAGGAAGGTACGCAGATCATGGACAATACCGTTTATTCCCCATTTGTAGTCCTGCAGTCTCCTTGTTAAATACAATAGTGAAACATAATAGGTTTCTAGCCCTAGAAAGTATCTTAATTGGCATGGCCCAATTTATACATGGAAACCTGCATCAGATGTGAGGGGTTTTTTCTTTTTAATGATGTTGAACTGAATTGTATAACAAATAAAATGGATTTTGCTAAATTAATCCACTCCATAACACTTTTGTTCAAATTATTTGGATTCACATTCTAAAGGCTAGAACTGAAATATATTCTGATTAATTCAGACTGAGGACGATAGCCTGAGAATTCAATTAAGGTAAACTCAGCACCCTGCTACATTTGGGGCAGCTCAAACCTGAGCACTACAGTGTTTACTCCTGCCTGCATGACACAACTGAGACAACAGGAGTGAGATAAAAGCACGTGGCAAAACACAGTGCACATCAAAGTAAAACTTAGCCCACTACAGTTTAGGGGACAAAGAGCACTTCTCACAAACTGCCTGCATCTCTGCCCCAAAACTCCACTACCTGGGAGACATCCCAGCCAAAGCAATGTAATTCTAAAACTGCCTTTCCCCTTTCTAGAGCTCCATCCCTCACCTTAATTATCCCACTATCCTTGCTGATTATTGTATCAGTCAGATGGATTTTTGGTTTGAGTCAGTACTGTTGGCCTCAGGTGAATACTTGTTTGGTTTGGGAGGAATTAGGAGGCATTTTGACAACTCTTTCATTTCTTCATGCTCCTCTTGGATTTTAATTTTCAGCCAACTGGTTGGTGGATGGTGAGTTTGCAACTCTTGCTTACTAGTGACAACTGGACGTAAGAAAATTATTATAGTGGCAGCAACAGTGATGTTCCTAAGAGAGAAATAACTAAAAGTGAAAAAAAAAATAATAAGGTGGGACAACAGGAATGGAGCCCTTATGTTCTGGCTGAAAACAGGAAATAGAGAAAATAAAGACTGGGGAATAGCATCTTAGGCTGCTGCACTGTTCCTGTTGAGAATGTAGAACTATGTTCTTAAATAGCCTTAGTTACTTAGTCTCGGCTAATGCATTTCGGTAGTAGACTCAGAATTAGTTTTTAAAAAATTATCAAAGAATGAAGAGTCTGTAAACCATAGGTGCATCAGTTCAATTTTTGTATTATTTGAAACCTGCTGTGCATTAAATTAACTGTGTTCTCCATAAGGAACAGCCCATACTCTGGACTTTACTATTACTTTAAGAAGTGATATAGCAGAAAGATGGATAATAACCATACTACACTTAGGAAGTTGTGGAATCTCCACCTTTGGGGCTATTCAGTCCAGTATTAAATATGGTGTTGAAAAATCTGCTTTAACTTCAAAGTTGCATCTAATGTCAAGTGGGCTTTGAATGGGGGTTGTATGAGATCACCTCCAGAGGTCACTTCCAATCTATTGTATGATTCCATGATTCTATGTTATCTTTTTAAGGCCCTTATATTATATTTCACCGTCTCTAAATGGAGTAAAATATCAGTTTCACACTTCAAAACAATTCTTGATTTAAAACCTGCAGAGCAATTTACAGCTACTTTGGTACCAAAATCTACTGACTCTCACTTTATAATTCGATAATTCTTCAATATAATTTTCTCTAAAATGGTCCAGGCTGGCAAGCAGAACAATTAGCCCTATGTTCTCTCTCTAGTTGGTGCTTGCATGTTTCCATTTAGTGATTCATGGAAGAGACTAAACTAATAGACATGTATACACAGCTGCTATCTCATATCCAGCTGAGGCTAAACGCAGTATGATTAATTTAATTAAAAATCCTGTCCTGCTAATCTTAGACAGTCTTTTCACTTGATGAGACCACACAGATGCGCTGAATTCTTATTGGAGAGCCAGTATGTGTTTCTGTTTATAATGAATGTAATAATGTGTCAGCTAAAATTAAACAGATTAAAGTGAGTATGCAGATTGCATGTGCAGGATACCTGCAAGAGCAGTAGAAGGAAGTGTAGCCTTTTTTAAGGCCCAGGACTGCAGAATTTGTAATGGTTGCTGAAACAACAGGGGTTTGTCAGTGTCCCTAGTGTGGATAGCTATTCATGTAATCCATTAGTCAGCTGATTGGAGAGCACAAATTGAGCATGCTTGATGTATGTAACCAGTATTTTGCATTTCATGTCTTCAATTTGCATGCTCTGCTGACAGTTCCTTCCGCACACAGTTCACCCTCAGTTTTAATACCCTGTTGCAGGAAGAAAGAAAGGTTCCTCCTCCTGTACCAAAGAAGCCCCCAAAAGGAAAATTCCCTATCACAAGAGAAAAATCTCTGGACCTACCCGACAGACAGCGACAAGAAGCTAGAAGACGGCTAATGGCTGCTAAGAGAGCAGCCTCTTTCCGGCAGAATTCAGCCACAGAGCGTGCAGACAGCATCGAGATATATATACCAGAGGCTCAAACCCGGCTTTAAAGACAGAATGCTGCAGAGTTCCTTTTTTAAACAAAATGCTTGTACAGTTTGTCACTTACCTGGTAATTTTTGTCTCATTCTCTCCACTAAATATGCCCTTGCTGTTGTGTTCTTTGTGCCATAAGCACAGTGGAATGCTTTTGATTTTCTCAGAATTTGCTGAGCTCACCGCAAGAACGACTTCTTTTTGTATTTATTGTCTGACTTACAATCAGCTACAATGGATAGGGCTTGTCAAGACCTGACTTATCCAATATATTCTCAGAGGACAACAAGAAACACCTCTTGAGATGGAACCCAGCTTACTTTTTTGTTATTTATATTTTTATAAAATGTGTGATAATTAGGGATAAGAATAACAAACTATAAATGGGTGCATCTCACCATTCAATAGAGGCATTAGCTAATCCAAGTAGAAGGTGCTACAAATGTAAAGCGCAGGAAAGAAAGAACCCATTTATCTCTCTGACCTCCAGTTTCTTTTCCTAGAACCCAGCTAACATACTTATCCATGTGCTCTGCCACTCTTCTCATCTTTGTTACTGCAAAATAACATTAGGCCTCTCATGTCATGTCAAGTTTCTGGAGATGAACAGGGATATCCAGCCACTAAAACTCCAAAGTTCATCAGAAACCAAGAAGCATACAAGTCTGGTGGCGGTGGTGGGAATGCCCACAGAGAAACGTTTGCTGTTAGCAGTATAACAACACTCTGAAACGTAAGCAAAATTATAATGCAAGAGGACTTGAGTGATGGGTGAAAGGAAAACGGAAGCCTTAAAAAGTTAGATCTTCTGTAGCAAGATGTGTAAAGGAAAAGTTGTACTCACTCCTTTGGAACACTCATTGCATTTTTTAACAGTTCTTTTATGTGTTAACATTTATTTTATAAACCTTCTCTCTTTCATTTCAAAGAGCTGTGCTACATGTAATATTTCAAACTCTCAAAATGTTCTATCAATTGAGTTTCCAGGGTATCCTTGAGAAAAAAAAAAAAATCTTGCTTGTTTAAAATGCCAGTTGTGATGTTGTAAACAGTTTAAGAAATATGAATGTGAGTGGTAAGTATATCTAAGTTTAAATGGTTATGTTAAGGTAAAGGTGAACTGTGGTTTACAGTTGTATTTTTTTTTAGAACTATTTTTCTATGCAGTATCATTTATGGCAAGAATAAGCTTCTTGCTTCCTTCAGATATAAAAAAACCCGTGACTCAAGAGATAAGTGATTTCCAGCCATGGAATACAAGGAAAATAATATATTTTTGAGCCTCGCATTGTCAGAAGAAAGAAGTGCTAACTAGCACAGTCAAGAGGCTTCAATTTAAAACAAATTAAGACAATTATTCCACTTCACCTACCTTCCAGAGCCAACCGAGCAACCCAGCACTTAGAAGTCTTCAGGTGAAGACGCAATAAGATGAGTAACCCGCGCCCCCTGATTCCAAGGTTTGAATCCTACTGAACACTACTTTAGGTCAAAACAGTCTGAACCCAGTGAGACAGACAGCCCCAACTACCACGTCCCCTGTTTACCTGCTTTAACAAATGCAATGTATTTAGCCATAGGCAGAACAGCTATTTAATTGTACTCGAGCACTTTGGTTCTTCACCTGATGAGCACTTTAAATCTGAATCCCATGCACCCTGCAGCCTGACGGATGACTGAAAACATGAAGTATCGTAGGTTATGCAGATCTGACATTGCTTCAAATCTGTTTTCTTTTGGGGTTTTTTTGTTTGTTTTTCTTTTTCCTTCTCTTTTTCCTACAGTGTGTAGTATTAAGCATGAGTTCTGTCTTTGGAGCACAGCTGATAAAGCATGTTTAGCTTCAAGATATGAATCTTTAGAGATGAAGTTTTAGGAAGTTTCTGTGAGGAGAAAACCCTGTAAATTGAGCCTGATATCTGGTATATACTTTACCAAATAGCCTTAAACTATATTTGGAAGCAAAAACCAAGACGAATGTATATCCCTCAAAAATGCAAAAAAAAAAAAAAAAAAAAGGAAAAAAAAGAAGATAATAAATCCCTGAAATATTCTTCTACAGATGAAAACATTATATTTCCCATCCCTTGTGTTTTCAAGGCATTTTCTATTAAGGAAAGAGCTGAATCCTAGGTAGTGTACAATATTGATGCTACTTCCTATACTTGTACTATTTTAAATACAAATGTACCTGCGACACTGGCACCTTTAGTCTTGAAAACTGATATCTTATTTAAAGTGGAGCTGCTAATTAGAAATATCCACACAAAACTAAAGCCAGTGTCTTTCCTAGATTTAAGAAATTTTAAATAGACACACACATCCCTATACATATATATATATATATGGCAGCTGATATATTTTATCTGATTTTCCTGTACACTTCAAGGAGAAATCACACTTGACTTACTTGAAAACCCCACCTGCAGCAACGGGTTGTGTGATTAAGACAAGCTGTATTTGATCCTGACAGTAATCAGACTTTATAAAGACAAATTGTAAAACCAACAGACTACAGGTAAGCTTAGATCCCAGCTGACCTAATAATGCTGACTTGGAATAGTCCATATAAGTCTTTAATTTTAATAGTTTGGTGATATGTTAAAATTTTATTGGATATTCTCAGGCAAAATTAGGCCTGCATGAATGATGCCAACCCTGTGTTTTACATTTCCCATGCCATTATCAGAAAATGTTCAGTATAAGCTTTGGATATCTATGATTTCTGGTTTCCACACTTTTGTTCCAAAAAAAAAAAAAAGAAAGAATCAAAAGTAAACTAGATGCCTACTGAAAAATCTGATAATATGTTATCTGTGCATGTTACATTTCAAAGTGCAATATATTAAATTATTGTACAGGTAACATTCTATCATTAAAAGCAAATAAGCCATTTCTATTTACATACTGTACATCTGGTTAGTTTAGAAAAATAACATTATGCTTATCATACTTGTGTTGCAAATAAATCAAAGTCAAATTGCTTCAATCCCTGACATAAGAAACACAGTGTGTGGTATCTTAATAAACATATAAACAGATCAATTGTAATCTGACTCCACATGATAAAAATAAGATTCAGTTACAAAACCAAGGTAGGAGGAACATAAATAAACATAAAGATAGAAAGTGGAATGCATTCTACTTAGAGGCTTCATGGTGTAGACCCACACAGAACAGCTGGATACAGCAAAATAGTCTTGTATTTAATTCAATACTAATTGGACTAATATTTACTTTAACAGGTGAAAATCACAGAAAGTCTCTGTTCATTTCTTCATTGCCTGTAAAACACAAGTATAATAAACAGAATTCTGAAAATTTAAGTAAAGAAAAAGACCTGACTGGTAAAATTGTTGCTATTCGCCATACTTATTTTTGTTTTGTATATTTTTTTTAGATTTTAAATTCTTTGTAAATTGGTGAAGTACAGTATAAAGTGTTTTATTATTTTATGTTGACCTGATTAGAATGACCTTTGGCAGTGTGTGAAGACTAATAATATTGTACAGTTTAATACCAAAAAATGACATTTTAATTCATGCTTAAACCTTGTCACTATGTTAGATTTGAGATCAATCAGGAAGGAATTAAAGCGTGCATAGGAAGGTGTGTGGATTTCATATATATATATATAAAATACATTTCATATAACAGAAATTATTTGTTTTAAAATAAGCCCACGTCCTGCTGCATCAGTAAATTCATACTCTAGTTTCACTTTCTTCAGCACTGCATCTAGCATAAAGTGAGGGAATGTTCAGTCATTGGGCGGCTTTGCAAAGAAAAGAAGTTACTGCTGGTTGATGACATGCCATATGTGACCCACAGCCTCCTCATGCCCTGCTGGAGCCATGCCCTTGGGAGGCTCCTGGCCCCATGGCACCCTTGGGCACCGACACCGCTCCATGCCAGGTCCTCCCCACCCTGCTGTGCCCAGAGCGGCATGCATCCAGATCAGCCCATCTCAGCCCTTTGCATTCAAAGCCTTGAGCCTGCCCTGCCTGGTCAGTGATGTTTGATGTCCTCCTTGGCTTTTCAGCGTTAGTGCCAGTGGCAGGGGGCACACCAGAAGCTGACCCATCCAGTGCTGGTTTGTGCATGTTAATTTGAGGTCTGAAGCTGGTTTGGCAGCTCCAGGTGAGCTGAAAATCTGCAAAATCCTGTGTATCAGGAGCCTTAGTATTAGACAGAGAGCTTCAATGAAACGTGCAACAGCATTACTCCTGTTACTGTTCCCAGAGCACCTTACGATGTAGTGATACCACCCGCAAACTGTGTTTGAGGTGAGAAATATCGGCAAACCCATTAATGTCTAGAGAGGTGCTTCCTGGTGTATGACAGGTTGACACATTTATACAGTGCCTTTCATCCAGAGGGATCTCCAAGCACTTTATTAGCTGACACACAAACTCCAGGCTGGGCTGCAGCTGGGGCAGGTTACCCTGCCCATGGCCTGGTGAGCCAGCACGGCGGGATGCTGGGGGCTCTCCTGCCTGTCCCCATGCTGCTGGGGAGTTTCCTTCCACACCACCCTTCCAGTGCCTGGGAGAGCCCTTACAGTCCAAGCCTGTGCCGAAGGAGAAGCAAAGACTTGCTGAATCAAGAGGAAGACCTGAGCAAAACAGAGGCGAGGGCAATGCTCATACCGTCCTCCAGGGTGTAGGCAGGGAACAAAAAGCATCAAATTAAGTTTCCAGATCAATCTTTGCTTTTTCTGTTCATGACGACGGCAGTGAGGGTCCCGGCACTGGAGGAGCTTCCCTGGGAGGGCGCTGCAGGAGAGCCCTGGCCAGCGCCAAGCGCGGGAGCTGACGGTGCCTGCAGCTGAGCCATCTTGGTCGGGGATCTTGGCAAGTCTCTCCTTCACAAGTGCATTGCCCCTCAGCTTTCTTAGTGGGAGACATCCATCTGGGGTACATGCTGCAAAAGCAGCTTTCCCCTGTGGCATAACTGCCAAGTGCCCTTTTCTGTCCCTGGGCCTGCCCTCCAGCCAAGCTAACGTGAGGGCTAACACAGGGCACAGGACTTAGGCATAAGGATTATGCTTTGGTTTAGGCAGCTGCTCTTTACTGAGACTCAGCTCTAACCCTAAGGGTTCTTTATATGGCAGAGCAATGGGGATGCCTCTCTCTGCATTGGCAGGATCGGCAGACTAGAGGCAGCCATTTCATACTGCAAATAACAGAGAGAGGATATATAGATGCAT